CACAGTGACAGGACATCATGCAGTGACATACCATGCCATTGGGACCGAAGTTAAAAAAAAAAAAAAAGGAAAAAAACCCTTCTGAGTTTTTGGAGGTCTCATAAAGACCATGAGTTCTGGACTAATTCATTAGTAAATTAAACATAGTAGAAGCATGCCACTGTTTTATGGAGGAGCTTATATTTAATACCACATCACTCTGGGCGTCCTTTATTTTTGGATCTTCTCCTTTGCTCTTGACACAAAAACAACTGGTTATCTGAAGATAACAAGGGAGGTGACAAAATTGTGAGACCTGAAATAACCGAGGTGTAAGGAAGAATGTGATGCCAAATCGAGAGGCTGAGCTGCCACACACAGAGCACAACAGCCCCAGATATCCCAAAGGAGCAGTGACCTGGAGCACTCAGCTCTTGATGGCACTTCCTTGTTCCTCAGTTTCTGTCAGGTCAGGAACTGGACCAGGACAAACTGTCTTACCCCCACTCACCAGCAGGAGGCAGTCAGGACTGCACAATGCTAGCGCTCAGGGTGTCTAGACCAGGCTCTGTGCTCACAGGGCCAGAGAACCAGAAGAGGTCTCTAGTCACCCTTCAGGTCAGCCTGGGAACTCCGACTCTCTCTTTTAAATATTTCAATGAGGAAGTCTCAGGATTTAATACAGTATCACATGAGTGACTATGACTGGCATTTTCAATAGCTGCCGAGGTTTGTGAGAAGTAGCCCAAATCCAAAGCTCAGAGCTCTTTGTATGTGGTGTGCGTGTATGTATTTGTATATGCATGTGAGGAGGTAAACGCACATGCACGTGTATGCATCAGCCAAAGGGTGATGCCTGGTGTCTTCCTCCGTTGCTGTCCACTTTATTTACTTAGGCAGGGTCTCTCACTGAGCCCAGATCTCACGCATTGGCTAATCTGGCTAACCAGCTTGTCGTGGGAATTCCCTGCCACCATTCTCACACAGCTTTTACTCGGGTTCTGAGGATCCAAACTATCACTTCATGGCAATCGATTTACCCACTCTGAGCTGTCTCCTAAATCCCAAACTCAAGCTTCTTTTTCAGGTTCCTGGGGATTAAGATTATTCTTTAGCATCTTGGGTACTACCAAACCTAGCACTCTCAAATGGTTGCATGTGGACACTACTTAACTAAGATGCAACAAGACTTAGTACTCAAGTTCAAACTCCTGCTTTCTAATATGACTTCTGAGTATCTACATTAGAACTTACTAATCTAGGTTTTGCTTTTTCTGAACAATATAGCAAGTGTGCCCTGAGTGGCTACTAGAAGTGTCTATTCTGTCCCCATTTTAGCTAATGCCGAGACTGAGCCTTCTCAGGAGATTAATGTGTGCTTAACCATCAGACATTGTGCTGAATACAGAATCATCCTTTGGTTTCCCATTATAGAACCATGACTATGTAGCCTAAGAAAACTGGTATTTTACAAGTCGAGGACCCAACAGAACAGAGGGAAAATGTGAGACAAGTGTAGTGTTTGTTGTGTGTGTGTTTTCTTGAAGCTCTAACTTGCTGTTGAGTATTAAGAGTTTGTTCTTAGCCTCCTCATCCCATTTGGTATAGCCCAAGGCATGTCTCAGTCCATCCTGACTGTCATAACAAAATATCCAGGACAACAGAGGTTGATTGTTCACATTTGCGGAGACTGAGCATCTATAGATTGGGTATCCAATGAGAGCCAGTTTCTCAGTTTTCTGCCAGATATAAGGAGAGAGGCAACTCCCTAAAGGCTCCAGTCCCACTCAGGAATCTGCCATGAGGACCTACAGGCCTCCCATGGCTCCACCTCCAAACGCCATCACATCCAGGGTTTCAAACATTCCAGCTGCTGTAGACACCATCTCTGCCCTCAAGGTCTTATGATTAAGAGGCTAACAAATGCACCTGAATTTCTAATTAGGTGAACTAGCAACACAAGGCAGAAGACAGACCTCTAATTCTGTGTTTTCACACTATGCCCATTTTCCTAATCTATAATAAATGCATCGAAAGCCTTATAGAACCATAGCCTAAAATAGTGTTCCTACTTAATTGTTCCAGGTTCAAGCCTCATTGCTGAAAAAGTTTAAATGTCTGTGCAATACAATATATGCACATATATTTAATCATCTGTAGATATGTGCATGTGTGTGTGTGTGTGTGTGTGCATGTGTACACACATCTCTATCCCAGAGGTGTGTGAAGTAACCATGAAAAAAGCATGGGCAGCAAGCAAAGTTAACTCCCAAGGTGGGAGAAGGTGGGACTTTACAGGGGAACTTGCCGCACTAGCTCTGCACACTGTGAGTCGTACCTTGTGTGAACTCTGACCTTTTCACCCGGCAAGCAGTGAGCAGTGGCAGGTGGCTAAACGAAGAGCATTTGAAAACATCCAAATGTGTGTTGGTGGTCGGTTGGAGGCAATAAATGTCCGAGCAGCCTTTAATCTTAGGTTTTCACCACCCTTTACATCTAAATTTCCATCCTCATACTTACCTGTGCCTTGAATTGATGGCTAGAAGACAGCGTAGTTTAAAGCGAGGAATAAAGGGCATGGTGAAGATCTTCACACTGGGGGATAAAGCCTTATGGTATTAAACCATACAGGTCAAGACGCTGAAGGACGGAGGTATTTTGCCGCCCTGATGAGGTTCATCCTCTGAAGTGCCATTTATGTAGGCTGTCAGACTTCTGAATACACCCTCCATGTGACTTCATGAGGGCTGTGTGCTCAGCATTACCTAATTTCCTCATAAACCTCTTGCTTTTTAATCAGCTAAGTGGCTCTCTGCTGAATGTCTCCCATTTATTGATATATTGTGAGGGCTGAGGCTACAGCCAGAAACTAAGTAATTCAACGTGGATGAAATGGCACATCACCATAATTATGATAGAAAAGAGAATCGTGCCCAGGCATACAGAGTAACTTGAGGAGACAAATGTTTGCATTAAAGCTTCCTTAAATGGCCGGCTCCAGGGCTGCAGAGCAAATGTCGCTCCCGAGACAGGCTTTTCCGAAGAAACCTTCCTTCCCAGCAGCTCTCGTGTAGTAGCTGGCTCAGCATCAACTCAGGACAAGACCTTCTTCAACGCTCGCTGCCTGGGGCCTTGGTGCTGGCCACGGGTTACAGAACCGGATCCCGTCTGCACCTTGGTCATCAATCTCCATGTGAGTGAAATGCATCCCCACAACGGCTAACTGGGGTCAGCCCCCGCCAAGGGCGGTCCTGATAATACACTCTTTAAAACAAACACCAGAGGGTTAAGGTGGTAAACATCTTTAACCCCAGCACATGGGGATGCAGAAGCTACTGGATCCCCGGGAGGTAAAAGCCAGCCATGACTACACAATGAGACCCCGTCTAAAACACAACCAAACCCACCAGGCTAGTGAATGACTCAGTGAGTAGAGTATAAACATGAGGACCTGTGTCCAGATCTGAAGCTCCCACATAAAAGTTGGGTGTGGTCACAACTGTCTGTGACCTCAGGTCTAGGAGGCAGAGATAGGCAGATCCTGGGGCTTGACTGGACAGCAAATCTAGAAGAAACTCGGAGTTCCAGGTTCAGAGAGAGACCATTTCAGAAAATAAGGTGGAGAGCAATACAGATAGACGCCTGATGTGAACCTCTGACCTCTAGTCACAAGGAGGCACACTCAGGCAAGCAGATTTGCACACAAATACATACACACCTTATGCCTTCCCACCCCATCTCTCCCCAAATACTGTATTGTGAAAAATCCTTTAACAAACAATATTGAAGCAATATAAAATGAGATTGGTTGCTGTTACAAATAACCCTGGGGTCACTACAATTGTTAAAGTGCTACTTGCTGGAAACCCCACTGATTAAATATATATTAATTGGATGTCAGACACCCTGGTATCAAGGGAGAAATGGTACCTACCCATCCAAATACAGTAATAGCAATGGCATTAGCAAAGTACCTTCTCTTTATAGTGTCACCATAATTTAGTTGCATGATGTATCCACACGGGGGAGCCAACGAGCAACTCCTCCATACTGTTCTGTAGGTGTTGGGGTTTGAAAGGGACCATAGCTGGGGGTGGTATCTTGGGAGGCTCCAGATTCTAGAATCTAGACCTTTGGAAATGTGGCCTAGCTGGCACTGATGGGAGGTAAAAAGCAAATGCCTACTGAAAACGTATTCTAACTAGATTGTGGAGAATGAGAGACCATTTAATTCAGAAACATTTAACACTCACTGTGGTCATTCAAAAGTATAAAACTGTAGCCAGACGGTGGTGGCGAATCTCTGAGTGTACTACCAGTCTGGTCCAGGATGGCCAGGTTACAGAGAAACCTTGTCTCGAAACAAACAAACATCTACAAACCACTGACTGTTGCAAAGAACTCCTGCCCACTCAGTCCCAGCGCAGCCCCCAAGCCAAGCCTCACAGGACATCTGGCTCTGAAAAGTTGCATACAAAGAAAACATGAATGTACCAGGCTGTGTAATATCTACAATGGAAAGTCAGCATGAATCTGCACGCTGCCATCCCAGCACTGAGGCAGGAGGATCAGGAGTTCAAAGTCAGCCTGGGCCACAAAGTAAGACAGTTTTACAAGAACAAGAGCTTCCAAGATGGCTCAACGGACAAGGCACTTGCTACATGGGTGTGAGGAGATGAGTTCGAATCCCCAGAACCCATGTAAAGTCAGGCATCAAAATGAGATGCTGCAATCCCTGTGTTCCTATGGTGAGCTGGGAGGAGACTGAAGACCGTTCAAAAGCTTGTGTGTCAGCTAGCCTGGTATATGCGTCAGGGAACAAACAGGCAGACAGCAAGAACTGACACCTGAGGCTATCCTCTTCTATCTGAGAGCTGTGACACAGGCATGCCCACACCCACACATATGTGAGTGCATACACACACACACATCATATACAGACACACACAAAGCTAAAAACAAGATAAAGTTCCAAAACAGGTTAATCGCAAACAAATATACACAATGTGATTCTATTTCCATGAGTTTAAAGTCTTTTAATAATATGAACACTTACCCCAAATTTCTTTATTATACTTATACAAAAAAAATTTACATGGTTTTCTGAAGGTGGCATTCTGGTGACTCACATTATGCTGAGGCTACATGCTGACACTGTACTGAGGAACTGTCAGAAACCTTGGAGCATTGTAAACCTGTGGGAAGAAGGAAGACACTGTCCTCTTACAGTCAGGATTCCAGGACTCCAGCACACATTCATCCTGGAAAATGATTAATGTGGCATTTTTGTTTTAATGATACTACATTTTTCAGCCAGGGACAGAAACCAAGTTCTCATCTTCCAGTGGGAACTTGCAACACAGGTTAATTTTCTAAACGGTGGCTGAGTGAGATGAGGTCAACAGGAATATTCCTGGGCATCTGGGATGTGACAAGAGTGGATTTACTTGGAGAACTCGGAACTCTGTGGGGCTGAAGGTGAGGGATGACCAGAGTAACAGGTTTTGGGAGTGGTTTGCTCTGGAACTCGGAACATAGGAGCAAATGTGACTGTTGAGGAGCAAGCGAGAATGGAGGAGAGATTTGTTATAAAAGATAAAAGAACACAATCGGGAGAGGATTCCTGGATTCTTGAACTTGTTAGCTGCTTTCAATGTAGTCCCATTTAATATTGGGAGTTCTCAAATGCTGCCCCAGCCACCTTCCCCACCACATGCCATCAGGGACCAGGCGTCAAGGGTGTCTACATTCCAGAAGGCCCATGGGCAGTGACTGCTCCTGGAGAACAAAATCCTGAAGCTTCCAACAGAGGAATCTTCCTGCACAACCATCCCAGACTCTCAACTCTAACTACCTGAACAGCCATTCCTTCCTTCCCTTTCTACATGTGTCCCTGAGACCCCAGCAAGGGGCCTGCACATGTCTGTCTGACACAGACAGGTACTGGCACTCAACACACAGAAACACTACCCTTGGGTCTGCTCTATTTTGTTACTTCTAGTTTGGAACCATTGCTCAGTGGCCCTTTCTAAAATCTAACCACAGATGCAATCCGACGCAGAGGATGTTCACTCTGAGGCTGATGTCCTCAGGGGCATCCTTGGCAGTGGCAGGCTCTGCTCTCCTCTGGTGACACATGGGAATCTGTGGCTTGTCCAACTACAAGGCCGCAGAGTGGGTCTCTGAGAGCCCGCTCTCCTCAAGCTTCAGTCCCAGGTTGTCGATCCCGATGCTAGTGACGGGGGGCACACTGCTTTCTGCCGGCTCCGCTGTGCGTGTTGGGGTGGAACAGTACAAGATGAAGCCCACCATGATGACTGTGAAAGACAGGATGTAGAGCCCTGAAAACTGAGAGAGAAAACAGACAGTTGCATCCCCTCACACAGCATGGTGCTGCGGCCCTGCTGCCACTGTTCTTTGAGATCCACCACCACAGTCTCTTTCTGGAAAGTTGTCAAAGGAGAGACCCTGTCTCGAGGAAATAAGGCACCTAGCATGTGTCCTCTTCTGGCCTACACACACACACACACACACACACACAGACACACACAGACACACACAGACACACACACACACACACACACACACGAACTGTATCTAAAACTCTGAAGCTGCCCTTTGCTCTCTGAGTCTTCAAATGACCTCTGACCGAAAACAACAAAGTCTAATATCAAAGTGAGCTGCTAGACATGCAGGGACATGGTGGTCGCGCAATGGCATTCTCCCATGTTTGCTGTCATCTGCCCACTAACAGGACACATAAAAACACTCCTTCGTGTTAATGTCAGGAGCAATTGACCAGAAAGCGCTTAAGATCTTGGGCTGAAATAATCAGGGTTCACAAAATAAAGTATTTGTTATGATTCACAATATAATGGGCTGTGACAAGTGTACCTTGAACTGTAAGATTTCATTCTTTTACCTTTATATCCTCCTGGACATTATTTTGCTTAGGGTAGAAAATTAAAAGTTAAATTACTAACAACAGTATGGTTGGTTAAAAGGCAGGAAAGGTGAGGCCAGGAGAAGGCTCAGCAGGTAAAGGTACCTGCAACCCCAGGTCCTAGCAGCCTGAGTTCAACCCCTGAGGCCCACATGATGGAGAGAGAGAACTCACTCCCAGTTATTTCCTGACATCTTCAGGTATGCCATGTCACATGTGTGCACACACACAAGTAAATGAGATGTAGTAATGTTTTTTTTAATATAGAGAAAAAAACCAAACTGGTGAGGGAGGTCACAGACAGCCACTCCCCTAGGGTAGAATCCCCTTACAGAGCACCCTTGTCCCCCAGGGGGCCATGTGCAGACTCAGCACCAGAGAGCAATGCCCTTCCTTAGGAGAAATACAGCTGCCCTTAATAGTTCTCATAGGAATATGAGTATATACACACAATAACAATGAAATAAGAGGCTATGGGTTTGGGGAAAGTTATATGGGAGAGCTTGAAGGAAGGAAAGGGAAGAGAGAAATGTTGTGATTATATTCTCAAAAAGTAAAAAACAAAACAAAACTGGGCCTATCATAAAAACTACTTCTCCGATTCACTTTAACATTTTTATGTGATGCTATCAATAATCTATAAACACTTCACCAGTGTTAACTGAGAAATTCCTTCACCAGCCAAGTATTCAAAGACAACAGCTGGCTCCTGTCCCTCCCATATCACTCACTATTCAGGGTAAGAAAGGTTGACACTTGATTAACAGACATTTGAGAACTCAGTGAGCTTTATGTATCAGTAATTCAGACAAGCATTAAGGGTTCGTGGCTGCTAGTTCCTGGGAGGAGAATAAATCATCTCCAAGGGTTCCCGTTTGGATATCTGGAAGGAAGCCAGGTGTGGTAGTGCATGTCTGTAATCCTACCACCCAGAACATGGAGGCAAGAGGATCCTGAGTTCAAGGTCAGACTCTTCTACAGAGAGCTCCAAGGCTAGCCTAGGCAGGCTACATGAAACCTTGTCTCAAAACAAAGAAAAACATTACCACCAAACATGGAACCATTCCGCCACACATGCGTGGAAATACGTCCATCTCTCCTGCCTTTCCACTAGCTGCTTCAGAACTTGTGTTTATGCAGACAGAGTGCACAGAGACTCTCCGATGGGCTGGGGATCTGGAGCATCCAGCCTAAGCTGGATTGTTTTTCAAGGTCAACGGCAACCCCTGGAACATGTGTTAGCATTTCCTACAGCCAGTGTTCTGAGCCATACATCAAAGATGAACCCTGCTGCATTTCATCACTTTGAAAAGCCTTAGAAAGGCAATTCTTCTTCAGACCAAGTTCTAAGTTGTACACAGTAGCCAAGGGAGCAAAGCTTGTCCAATGAAATTACTGCTAAGACTACAAGAAAGTTCCATGTTGGGATCCAGAATCTTAAACAAACTTGTGTAGAGCTGGGGTGTATCTCAGGTAGGAGAGTGCTTGCCCAGTATACACGAAGTCCTGGGTCCCGAGCCCAGCAATGTACACACCCCGTGTAATGAAATAGAAGCTGAAGGTCATCCCCAGCTACACAGTGAATCTCAGGCTAGTCCAAGACACCTGAGACTCTATCTCAAATAAATAAGGAAACTTGTTTTGAGTCCATAATTATTTCTTCTTTGAACACAATCCATTTTCTTACCTTATACCCAAACAGAAAAAGGCCAAAGAAAAGGCTGTAGAGGTCAGCTGTCAGGATGCCCAGGTTGACTGACGTGGCACTGGTGACCTTAATCACCAGCGGCATGAAGCTGTATAGGCAAAACATGCAGAGGGCAAATGCCACAAATAGCAGCGCTGTGAAGAAATAGAATAGCTCATGTTATGAAGAGACAGCAGAAGGAACGTGCCCAGGGTCTGAACGCTACACAAAACTCCCTGATCCTTTGTCAAACTCCCCAAAAGGCTACTCTCTAACAGTCAGCATTATAAAAAACAAAAACAAAAAAAAAAACTACAAAGCTCTCTGAAATATAATAACCATAAAATAACAAGTTGTGAAGATCCAACAGGGAGTCAGGTGATCAAGGCCACAAAATCCTCCTTCTGGAGTGCCCGAGTCAACAGCCCGTATCACCCTGCATCACCCACCCTCCCAAGACAAAAAGATGGCTGCAATATAAAAGGTCAACAAAAGCCAGGTCAACATCACACATCAAGAAGAAATCCCTCGCTCGCCTTGTTTGCTTTTATCTGGTTGGTTGAATGTGATGTGTATGACTGGATTCAAAATAAAGTATATTTGGGACATCAAAGACAGACATTAGATCCACTATATTTTATTCAGCCTGTTGAATTACAAGTTCCAAGACAGAACAATAGCATTCTCCACTTTAGGACAGTGCTGACCACGCAGATGACTACAGTAGCAATGTCTGTTTTGTAAGCAATTTTAAACCACATCCTATGCTGAACACACATGCACGCACATACACACACAATCTCACATACACTCTCACACACACAGTCATACACACACATAACATACATGCACTTTGGGGGATTTCTAAGATATTTAATTTCCCTGCATTATCTAAGCATGGCATACAATCTTCAACAACATTTACTTACTATTTAACTACTTCCTGCTCATCCTCAAGGTTCCTGTCTTTCCTAACTATCCTAACACCTTCTGCTTTACTCCCACAAATATGAGAAGAGCAGAGCAGCAGGAGGTAGCAGATGATTACCTCCACCCATTGCTTGAGGTTAATGTGTCACATATTACTTGCAGCCCATGATAAACTTTACAAGTTCAAGGACCTAAGACATAAATGTATTGCTTGATAGCTAATGTGACAAAGGTCAGCCTCGGTTCTATTCAGAATTCCCAGGAAAGAAAAGCTATTTCTTACAAAGATTAAGAATGAACCCTAGAGGCTTACCTACCAACTTTCAGAGCAAGCCACCATCACTGGTGTGATTAAAATTTTTGGTGTGTATTTTTGTCAACTAAAGGACAAGATACTGATTTCAAAAGTCATCATTTAATTACATACCAATTTTCCAGTCCCAGTGAATCTTGGCAATGTCCTTATATTCCACAATCAGTCTAAGATCAAAACAAGAGGCTATGTAAAGATCCACATATTAATTTTTCTTATTTTATGGAAAGTTTAGCTGCTGTAATTCAGCTAAGGTAAAGAGTTATGCTGAGTTTTTTTTTCTTAGAATATACAAATCTCTAGACAGGCATGTGGCTCATACTTGTAATCCCAGAATTCAGGAGGCTGAGGCAGAAGAATTGCCATGAACCTGCGCAACATAGTGACTAGCCTAAGCTACAGTATAAGACCTTGTCTTAAAAAACAAACAAATTTAATGATAAAAAAGAATAGAATCCTTTATTAGATTTTTATCAAGTTACTGATTTCAAATATGATTTGGGGTTAAACAAATATTAGTAGTTAGAGAAAGGAATCATCTATCAAATATTTTCTCATTAAAATCATTTTTAGCTATTTTGTTTTATGTGTATGAGTGTTCAGCCTGCATGTACGTCTGTATATGCCATGTGTTTTCTGGTGCCCCTAGAGATCAGAAGAGGGAGTCAGGTTCCCTGGAACTGGGGTTACAGTGGCTATGAGCCATGATGTTGGTGCTGAGAACCCGCCATCCGGGGTCCTCTGGCAAAACGGCAAGAGTTCTTAACTGCTGAGCCATTTCTCTAGCCCCTGCTTTCTAGTTTAAGTGTGCACGTTAATGGGTTTCATTTTGCTCTTCTAGTTTCTATTCTATTTTGTTTCTTCATTGTGGTGTGTGTGTGTGTGTGTGTGTGTGTGTGTGTGTGTGTGTGTGTGTGAGTGTGCACACACATGTCACAGTGTACAGTGGAGATGTGAGGATAACTTGCAGGAGTTTCTTCCCTCTACCATGTGTGTCCCAGGGACTGAACTCAGGCCCTCAGGCTTGGCAGCAGGCATCCTTACCTACTGAGGCATTTTGTTGGCCCTTTGTTTTGACATATATGTCACTATACTTTGTTATAATTCATCCCCCTGCCCCCATATTTGTCCATTTTGTTTTAATGAAAACTTTGAACTCTTACAGCTGTACGCCACTGATAATTGTTCCAAACAGGCCCACCATTCCTAAAAACTCCTGTCTGCTCAGTTTCTTCACGATGTATTCCTCACACACATTAGACACAGCATACAGGGAAGCCCCAAGCAGGACCAAGATGTCACCGATCAGAACATCGCTCCCTACAGGGCAGTGAGACACAAAAAGGAATGCAGTGTCATCAGGTAAGCCAGGAGTTACCAAACTCTGTTCATTTGAATAAAACTTTATTTAATCCTAGTTTCTCTACGTTTAAAGGCTCCTGTCCTTACTGTCTGGGACATTACTACTATGATTTTCACATCCTGACTCCCTGGGAGACTGACAGACTGGAGGATGGTACTGTATACCACCATGACAGAAAGCCATTTAAAAGCATGACAGATTCATGAACGCTATTGAAGTGATTTGTTTAGAACTATAGGAAAGAATTCTTGGCAAAGAAAGGGACTTTATCTTGATTCAAGGAGACACTGAAGTTACCTTGGAGACTGGATAACTTCAGACCTGGCTTAGCATTGATACTGTCTATTGAAATATACCAAAGCATTCAGATCTTCTTTTATAAAAGAAAAAAACAAACAAAACAAAGCAATGCTGAGTGTGGTGGTGAGATTGTTGTCCCACAGCAATCGGGGGCTGAAGGAGGATTTTGAGTTCAAGTCCTCCTTCTGAGAAAAAAAATGAAGGTAGAGAGAGGGAAACAGGGTAGAGTCGAGGGGAGAATGGAAAAGAAGGAAGGAGAAGGGAAGGAAAGAGATAGTGAAAGAGAGAAGAAACGAGAAAAAAAACAGAAAGAATGACATAAAAAGGGAAATCAAGAATATAGGGTTTTATAGTAACTAATCCAAAATGTTGGAAGCAAAAGATGATTTCTACAAATGTATTTAAAATAAAATGTTAAGCATGCTTAAATGGGAAAGTGCAGTTAAATGGGAAGAATAATCACCAAACCAAATATTCAGCAGCAAGTGAGCAATGTGCTACAGGACGTGCAGGGTGCTCTGAGAAAGCACGTCAGCACCGCCCACCGAGGGGGAGCCAGCCCAGCAAGTGTGTGCACACTCGCTCACAGCATGGACTCCTGCTCACCCTCAGAAGAGTTCCCCCATCCCATGGACTCCTGCTCACCCTCAAAAGAACAGTTCCCCCATCCATGGACTCCTGCTCACCCTCAGAACAGTTCCCCCATCCCATGGACTCCTGCTCACCCTCAGAACAGTTCCCCCATCCCATGGACTCCTGCTCACCCTCAGAACAGTTCCCCCATCCCATGGACTCCTGCTCACCCTCAGAAGAACAGTTCCCCCATCACCCACTTTCTGCCAGTGTACCATTGCCAGACTGACCTGAAAATACACTTCCGTGGCTGAGCAAGTGGCACAGTCTCACCTGAATTGTCTTCTCTCCCTGCTAATATATCTGCACCAACCATGGTCCCTACACCCAGCAGGCAGACAAACACGGCAATGAAGTGGATCACTTTGTATCTTGCACGGAGAATAAACCAGGAGAGAGCCATCAACACAGGAATCCCAAAGCAATCCAGGAGCTGCAGGGAAGGGAAGCAAGCAGCTTCAAACATCTCGGCAGCTTGAAACAAAGAAGCACAGTTGAGTAGGAACATGGACCAAGGCTGGCATGGCATGCATAGCTTTACCTGAGCTAACTCATCCTATCCTCACGGTAACTCTCACATTGGATTTGCAAGCCTACTTTAAATACGCACACAAAACCCCAAAGGGTAAAGGGAGATTAGTTGTCCCAAATTATACAGTTAAAAGGCAGGCTGGGGATGTAGCTCAGCTGGCACAGTGCTTGCCTAGCAGGCGCCAATCCCTGAGTTTGTTCTCTAGTACCACCTAAAACCCGTGCTTTGGAGGTAGAAGCAAGAGGATTTGGAGTTCAGGGTTATTGTTGGCTACGTAGTGAATCCTAGACCAGCCTGGGATACATGAGACCTGTCTCAAAACAAGCAGTCAAGGGCTGAGTCTATTCATTTTGTCCAGGAGCCTCTGCATTCCCCTGTGTTTATTCTTAAGTCAGGAGACAGAGTCTCCTTCCAGTACATCCTTTTACGCTGTCAACAGGGTATTTATTAAGCATGTCCAGTGTCTGAGGCTCTGTAAGAAGGCTTGGTTGTTCAGCCAAAAGAGACCTTGCCTGGCGCGCGCGCGCGCATGTGTGTGTGTGTGTGTGTGTGTGTGTGTGTGTGTGTGTGTACACGAGTATACAATAAAAGGAGCTGGGAATACAAATAGAACAAGACAGATGTAAAGCCCATCCTGAGGAACACACACAAAACTGGACAGACATGAAATTAGAAATCACCAAGTCCTATATTTAATTGTAACTGAGCAAAGTGCTACCAAATACAGGCTACTATGAGGGAACAAACAGACACCATCTCCCTGATACAGAGTTCAGTTCTACCATGTGAGATACACGCTTGCTCCCAGCACGGGTTCCTGTTCATCTTTAGCATATGTTCCTCTATCACTTGAGTCCAGAAGAAACTTTCTATACCCTTCATACTGCCCAGCTGATCAAATGGGGACTAAGGGTACTCAACTATAGCAAATCCAATGGCAAGAGAAGACAGAACAGATAATTCACTTACTCAGTTCTTAATTTGACTCTGTGTGTATGTGTGTGAATTCAAATGAAATATACTGAAAAAATGTTTTAATTTGTGTGTGGGGAGTAGGTGGGTGTGTAGTAGGAAGGTGTTGAGTCTCCTGGAACTGAGTTGCAGGTGACTGTGAGCCACCTAATGTGCATACTGGAAACAACTCCAGCTAGTTGCAAGGACAGCAAGTGTTCTTAACCACTGAGCCATCTCTCCAACCCCTGAAGGATAATTCTTGAAGTATTAATATATTCAGGAATAAAGCCGGGTGTTGGTGGCGCATGCCTTTAATCCCAGCACTTGGGAGGCAAAGGCAGGCGGATCTCTGTGAGTTCGAGGCCAGCCTGGTCTACAGAGTGAGTTCCAGGGCAGCCTCCAAAATGATACAGAGAAACCCTGTCTCGAAAAACCAAAAAAAATATATTCAGGAATAAAGTGTAAATGTATGCTGTATGCTAATTATAGACCCTGAAACTTCTACTTCATTGCCCACTCTGTGGGGTTTGAAGTTTGTCCCTGGTTCTCTCCATGTTTGTTAAGTCATGGACAGGACAAGCCCCAAGCAGTCTGTGGGATCCTGGCTAAAGGGTTTATTGCTTATTCTCATAGCAATTGAAGGCACTGAAGGCCAGCATACCTCCAGTGTTGGGCCTGAGCCATGTGCTTCTGTGAGCCTTCCTGAACAACAAACCACTAAGCAATGTCCTGGAAGACACCAGTAGAGTCCAGCCATAATGGCTTAACACAATCTAAGCTGTGTTTCTTATTAAGAAGAAGAAGGAGAGGGAGAGGGAGAGGGAGAGGGAGAGGGAGAGGGAGAGGGAGAGGGAGAGGGAGAGGGAGAGGGAGGAGAGGAGGGAGAGGGAGAAGGAGAAAGGAGAAAGGAGGAGGAGGAGGAGGAGGAGGAGGAGGAGGAGGAGGAGGAGGAGGAGGAGGAGGAGGAGGAGGAGGAGGAGGAGGAGGAGGAGGAGAAGAAGAAGAAGAAGAAGAAGAAGAAGAAGAAGAAGAAGAAGAAGAAGAAGAAGAAGAAGAAGAAGAAGAAGAAGAAGAAGAAGTTGGAAGAGCCCACTATAAAAGTTATCACAGGCAAAACGCTCATAGGGTGCAGGAGAGACGGCTCATCAGTTAAGAGTACTTGTTCTTTTCTCTGCATCCACAGGGAGACTCACAACTGTCTGTAATTCCAGTTCCAGGGAATCTGACACCCTCTTCTGAAGGCACTAGGTATCTACATAGTAGACACCCCTAAATGTAGTCAAAACATTCACACACACACACATTAAAAACACATGAAATAAGATTTAAATTTAAAAGACTTGTAAGAGGAGGTCAGGGTCGTGCAGCTCAGTGAGTAGAATGCTCGCCTAGCATGCATAAAGGCTCGGGTTCGATCCCTGGCTAGAGCTGCATGAAAAGAATGTGGTGGTGTGTACCTATAACCACAGCACTGGGAGGCGGAGGCAAGAAGGCCAGAAGTTCAGGCTCATCCTTAGATGAGACCAAGCTAATACACAAGACCCTGTCTTAATTTTTCTTAAAGCTATAGAGACCAGGCACAGTGACTCCTACCTGCAATCCTAGCACTTGGGGAGAAGTGGCTCCAATGGGAGGATTGTGAGTTCAGTACATAGTGGGTACCAGGCTATCGGGGGCTACGTTGCAAGACCCTTTCTTGAGAAACAAAAGAGCTATAGAATCATTGAACTCTGACAGTGGTGCATCTCACTTTCCCCTTCAATTACAGAGCACTTGGCTGGTAAGTCAAGGCAAGGCAGGGCAAGTGACACCCCTCATCGTCTGCTGACACTAAGACAGCTGCACTCGAGTCTTTCTCAACTCTACAAGGTTGGTAAGTACTGCTATGAAGGAACATTTTTCCCTTCAACCCAACAAGAATAAACCCAATAATAACAGGCTGGTAAGATGACCCAGTGGGTGAAGGTACTTGCTGGCCAGGCTTGGAGGCCCAAGTTCAATCCCCAGAACCCATGAAAGAACTGACTCCACAGAGCTGTCACCAGACCTCCACACACACTAGTAGTAATATGTAATTTTTAAATTACATCTGCAGATGAGGAGCGGCAAGAGTCCACCACTGTTGCCACCTCTCGCTGGTGCATCCAGCAGGCTCCTTCAGTGGCTCCTACATCCTGATTGGCTTGCAAACCTCTAGTTTTGTAGTACAGAGCCACACTTACGTCTGTGCTTGAGCCAAACACACAACAGAACGGTCAGCATCACCACAGCAAGTGCCAGCTAAATATTTGCCCTTATTTTGCTCAGCACTATTCTAATATGCTATAGTGTGAGCAGCCTGGGAAGTCATCAATGTGTATCCACTGGCAGTAATTTCAGGAAATGTGACTCAGCAGAACATATGCTGTACTAGAAAAACACCTATCATCCACCTGCGTTCAGGGCTTCTTCAAACGCACAGGTTTCCAAGCACATTTTCTCCTCTAGGAAGTACAAAACCCAGAGCATCCCAACTCCCTCTTACCTGGACACTGGTCAGAGTCGTGTACTGGTATGCTCTGACAATCAGATAATTGGCTTCCACGTCGGCAAGCCCCAGGAGAGTGTATTTCCACCATTTTCTTCTCAAAATCTCTAAAAGGTTATCACTGCCTGGTTGAAAGAAAGCTGGGTGAGTACACGTTACACATGACACGACACATATCATTCTGTAGACCAGAAAAATCAAAGCAAGGGTCTGCTGTGTATTTCAAGTGTGGCCTGTCCTAACGTCAACTATCCAGAGGCCAGACATCAGTGCCACCACCATCAGGTTTGTTTAGTATGAAGCTGAAGGCTACACAACTGTGCAAGAACAGCGGAAAGAGAGCTGGAGGAAAAAAGTGGAAACACACACAATATCCAAGGCTGGGGATGAAGTTCAATTGGTAGAGTGCTTGCTTAGCATGTAGACATCCCCGGCACCCAGCATGGTGCTGTAATCAGGAGGTGGAGATGAGGGGACCAGCAGTTCAAGGTCATCCTTGGCTACATGGGGAATTTAAGGCCAGCCTGGGATATATAAGACCCTGCCTCAAACAGCAATAATAAATAATATATCCATCTATGAGCATGACTGGAGCCATTTCTGACAAGCCACAGACTCCTTTGGAAAAATGCCATGTTTTGACAAAACTAATTGGCTATGGAGTCCCCTAGCATGGGTTTCTTTGAAGAAAACACAGCCAGGTCATTATTTAGAAAGAGATGCACTCTCAAGTGACACTGAAGCCAGTGATAAGCTTAGGAAAAGCTTTTGTGGCACCACTAACAAATGCTTTCCGACCACCCACACACAGCTCAATTCTACTAGGGTTTACTCATCTCTGGATAAACAAGAGACAAAGAGTTGGCACATATGTTGGGGAGGCTTTGTGGTAAAATAATCTATAAAGAAATATCTGGGCATGGCAGTAAAAGCCTTTAATCCCAGAACTCATCAGGTAGAGGAGGGTGAGTTCAAAGCCAACTTGGTCTACATGAGGAAGCTCCAAACCAATCAGGGCTGCATAGCTGAGACCCTGTCTCAAAAGCAGCAACAAAAAGGAAGGAAGGAAAGTAGGGAGAATCACAATTGTGGCAGTCAATACTGTTAGCCTGACAAGAGCCAGAATTACCTAAGAGACAGACCTCCAAGCTCCATGCCTACCCACCATGATGGCCTGTCCCCTCGAATGGTGACCAGGAATAAACCCTTTCTCCCTTAAGTTACCTTTGTCAGACATTTAGTCACAGAAATGAAATCCATACCATAGCTGAACGGCTATTGCTTCTTAGCATCTTGGTTAAGATCAAGTAACGTAACTAACTTAAGTAGAATAAGGTTTAAAAAAAAAAGATCAATTACGGAACAGATGACTCCTGAATGTGACGTACCTGACCGAAACGCCAGCATCACTGTGTAAACCAGGAGCAGCAAGCAGTAGCTGATAAAGCTCTGAAGCATGGGCGTGTTCACTCTGTACTTTTCCGCCAAGTACTGGCTGGTGATGGCTGTGCCACATATACACAAGGACAGCATCTGGCCTAGAGCTATGGTCTTCAAAATATCCCTAGATAATAAAGGGAGAACTCAGATCAACCTGCAAGAACCTGTAACTCACACATGCACACACTTTTTGCTATAAACACGGTATGAGCTATTTTGGAAATATGAATTATTCTAAATTTTATTCTAGTAATTTATTCTAAATAATCATCTTTATTTCTTCATGCGTATGTGCACAGTGTGTATGTGTGATGTGTCTATGTATATGTGTGTTTGCACTTTCATGTGTGGAGGTCAGAGGACAACCTTGGGTAGCCCTCTTCCTGTTCCAACTTTGAGAGTCAGGGTTGTTTGACTGTTTCATACTGTGTACTCTCAGCTAACTGGCCTACAAGCGTCAAAGATTCTCCTGTCTCCAGCTGCCATCTCACCACAGAATCACTGGGACTACAGATGTCCACTACTGTGCCCAGCTTTACACAGGTTCTGGGGATTTGAACTCAGGTATTTACACTTGAACAGCCAGCACTTTACCCAGGGAGCCCATTTATTCTTATAATTCAGACGCACAGTCTCTTGTGACCCAGGCTGGGTTTGTGCTTGCCATGGAGTGGAGAATGACTTTGAACTCGTGATCTTCCTGCCACCACCATCCTAGGGTTACAGTCAAGTACAACCACACCCAATTTATGACATGCTAGAAGTTGGACCCAGGACTGCATCCATGGTAGGCAAGAATTCTACCAACTTAAACATATCCCAGGCCTCTTGAATTCATCTTCCTGATCACTTCATGAGCAAAAAAGTTGAATTAACAGAATTGGAAAGATTATTTTTTTATTCTCTTTTATTTTTTTCTCATACCCTGTCCCCATTTCCAAGGATAGTTACGCTTCTATTCACTGGCCATCCATTTAAAGATCATTTTATTTACTTAGCTCTTCATGTACTACTGGTGTGGGATAGGGTATATCATGCATATGCTAGTATACATACCACACAACACACACACACACACACACACACACTAGATAAAGGTTAAAAAAAAACTAGAAATGAAAGAGAGGAAGTACCAAGAAAACAGTATGGCTCAGCATGTAAAGGTGCTTGCTACTAAGACTGATGATTTGAGTTCAACTCCCAGGATCCCGCAAGGTAGAAGGAGAGAACCAACCCTGAAAGTTGTACTCTGATCTACACACACACACACACACACACACACACACACACACACACACACACACACACAAAATAAAGAAATAAATATTTAAATAGAAGGAGCCTGAGGCAGAAGGATGGATCACCCACAAGCTCAAAGGCAGCCTAAGCTACATGGTGAGTTCTATGGTCAGCTTAGCTCTACAATGAGACCCTGTCTAAATACATAAAAGGGAGAGAAATGGGGAAGGGGGCTTTGGGAAATAAGCAGCAATGGAGGACAAGATACATATTATTTAAAGAGTCAAGAAAACTTAAACCTGTTTGGAAGACAAACAGAAGAGAGAAAAAATAAAACAAGACTGACAAGGAAGAAATTTAAGAGACACAGAAAATAGCTCTTGGAAGGATCTAGAAGGAACCAGGCCTGAGCACACTGCAATGTTTACCTGAAATGCCCTCTAAATCAGTACTCTGGGGGCAAGGTGGGGAGAAAGGGATTCACTGTGTAGCCCTGGCCGTCCTGGAACTCACTCTGTAGACCAGGCTGGCCTCTGAACCCAGCGTTCTGCCTGCCTTTGCTTCCTGACTACTAGGGGAAAGGCAAGCGCTACCAAGCCTGGCTTTAATCAATACTTCTTAAACTTAAAAGAAATCACTGACGTAAAATTCATTATTAAATGAAGCTGAGACTCAACCTAAGTTGTTAGTCATCCAGCCTGGCTGTACACTAGGATTACCAGGGAGCTTCTTTTAAAATACTGACTGCTGGGGCTGGGGCTGGGTATCCCAGTGATAGAATGCTTACCTAACAAGCAAATCCTGGGTGTAATCCATAGTACCTCAAGAATAAATAATCAAATATCACACTAAAAGGTTCAAACATAAAACAAACAAAAAAACGCAGTCACAGACATACTATAAGAATATGTTAGAATTTTAAAAGACTTTATTAATGTATTTATTGTGTTGGGCATGCGCACTCAAACACCTGTGGTGGTCAGAGAACAACTTGCAGAATCTATCCTCTCCTTCTACCATGTGGCTTCTGGGAACTGAATTCAAGGCACCGAGTTTGGCAGCAAGCAACATTATCCACTGAGCCCTCTCAACAGTACCCCTGAATTTTTTTTAAATACTGACTGTTAGGTTCTGAGGATGTGGCCCAGTTGTGCAGTGTTTCTGCAAGGGGTTCTGTGGTGTGGGAGGCAGTAACCCTTTTCTAACTGCTCTCCTGAGGTACCCTCTATCCCCAGACACAGTCTCCACACTGCAAGAGTTCTGATCTAAGCCGGGCGTTGGTGGTGCACGCCTTTAATCCCAGCACTCAGGAGGCAGAGGTAGGCGGATCTCTGTGAGTTCGAGGCCAGCCTGGTCTACAAGAGCTAGTTCCAGGACAGCCTCCAAAGCCACAGAGAAACCCTGTCTCGAAAAACCAAAAAAAAAAAAAAAAAAAAAAAAAAAAGAGTTCTGATCTAATGGGTTTATTCCCTGTCTAAAGCAGTAAGTGGCTCCCCTCTGCCCTCACATGAGCACCCAACTTTAAAATGGCTCATAAGGCCACCTACTGTCTGACCTCTGTGCCTGGCTCCAGATAAGTCTAGAAATGTTCTTCCTCTTAGCTTGTTTAATTGTGATTGCTTTTTTTGTGTTTGTTTTGTTTTGTTTTCCATCTCTTTAATTTTTTTCTCTTTTTTTTTTCTCTGAGAAAGAGCTCATGTAACCCAGGCTGACCTCAAACGTACTATAATATAGGATGCCCTTGTGTTTCCAATCCTCCTGCATCTACGCCCCAGGATGGAGATTACAGGCAAGCAGCATTTCGTATATTCTTGGGGATAGAACTTCATGAATGCTAAGCAAGTACTCTAGCAACTGAGCCACACATGCCCTGGTCCCAACTGCTAAAATCTCTACAGGACATCAAGCATGTAACAAAGGTATTCTCAGGGCATTGGTTCCAGGACCTGCTACAGATGTCAAGTTCAATGAAGGCTGAGTACCTTTCATAAAATGATGTCATGTTTTCATATAACCGGTGCACACCCGCCCATGTGCTGTATCATGTCCAGATCTATAACACCTAATACAATGTCAGTGCCATGTGAGTAACTGCTAGCATGTGTTTCTCAGGGTCTAATGCCAGATCTACACATGTTCGGTGCAGATGGTATTTTTTTCTCAATATTTTTAAACAAAATTGGTTGACTCTGTAGGGTAAAATACACAGATATGGAGAGTCAAGTTTCCAATGTATAATCAATATGCATTGCCTATCCGGGGGCCTTAAGAAAATATTAGCAACACCAGCACTCTTGGTTCTCCCAATTATTTTTGGACCTTTCCTAGGGGTAAATTCTTTGGAGAACTTGCTATCGATTATTCTCATACATTTCAATTAACATTCATGTAAGTATTGCTAGCAGTAACTTGTAACTTGCTATCTTGCTCAACATTGAGAAAAGTCTCCCTCTTAATCTTTTACTTCTAGCTGTTTCCTTTTCACCACCATACAGGATTTTGCTATGTGACTCTATCACACTTCATTTGTTGATGGATATTAGGGTAAATTCCATTTGTTGTGTTGTTTTCGTTTTTTATAAATAATGCCTCTACAGACATTCTTGCATAGGTTTCCTAATCACGTATCTGGAGATTTTAGTTTGTTTTGGTTTTTGGTAATGGTACAAATGGGTCACAGATATGCTAAGAGAGCTCCCTCAGCCCCTGAGGCTTCCTGAAAGAGGCCAGCTTTTGCTGTGTCTTCAGTGTCCCGTGGTGACTTACTGCTTGTGTCATGGAGTCTGAAGTAGTGAAGGTGGAGGCGACCCTGGTGTTAAGATATAAGCACATCTCACTTTACTAGTTTGCTAGATTCCTCTTCTAAAAGTTACTCCTCCCTGTGGCTTGGTCTGTTACAACCCCAAAGAAGGACCTGAAGGAAACTGCACCATTCGAGAAGGACAATAATGTCATGAACTAGCCAATCCTCATTAGACCGTGGAGAGGAGTTTTCACCAAGATGAACACGGGATTGAAACTGACTCCCAGGAGGTATGATTCTTTTCCAGACATTTCACCTCCACAGGCCAAGGCAGGCATGAGCGAGCAAGACCTGAGAGTGGCCACCTCTCCCTCTTAGGCTCACCTCACTGATTGGGTGTGGTTTGCATTGGATGGGGCTGAGGAGGCCCGACCTAGACAAAATCAACTATGTTAGCAACAGATGAAACTCAGATCCCCTTAGGTCTTACTGCCCCTCCTTCAGTAACCCCAGCAAGTGAGGCCATCCCACCAGTTAAAGTCTCCCCAGATTTGCATATTCTCCTCACTCCTGATGGCCCCTCCCTCCCAGTCTGCATCTTCTCTCCACTAGGGTCTACACCACAGCTTCCTTCTCTCCACCCAGGTTCTATAACAACACAGCTTCAAAGCCCTACCCTCACCTTACCTTTAGGAAGAAACCCACCCTGGCCTCTCTCTTCCCATCACACCCCTTCCTCAAGCGAAGCCAGCAAAGTTGGGTGTTCACAATAGAAAGCACAGAAAATCCAATCAAGCCCTAAGAAGTTAATCAAAGCCAGACTGTGGTTCCCATCCCATCATGGACTTGAAAGCAAGAGTAAATGTGAAATAAGTGACAATGAGAACCATGGATCAGAATTCCTCCAGCCAGCTCCTTTCTGTAATCTACAAGAGCCCAATTAAGCAAACTGTCTCCAACAGTTAAGTATAACTGCCTCCTGAGAGAGAGGGTTCCAAATTGAATGTGGAGATTTAAAGTTACAGAAATGCACTTATCTGGCTCCAAATCCTAATGACCTCATCTATAAGGGAGTGGGGGTGGGGGGCAAGGAGAGACAGAAAGAAGCTGGAGTGGGTAGAGGTTTAAGAAAGAAGGGGAGC